CCAAAACAACAAGAAAAATAAAAGGGCAGAGATAGGAGAGACTGCAGAAGTGGAATCAACAAGACTTGGCAACTGATTGAATATGGGGGGGTGAAGGAGAGGGGAGAGTGGAGGGCAACTCTGAGGTCACCATCCTGGATGACTGGAAGGCTGGGGGTGTCCTTGAAAGTTGGGAGGAGGGTTGGATTTAGGGGGAAATAATGAATTCCATTTGGACATGAGGAGTTAAGAGAGGTCAATCTGTATCAGTGGAGCTGTCCAGCAGTTGGAGGCGTGGGACTGGAGTTCAAGAAAGTTATTAGATGAATAGGTAGATAAGTGAGGGACCTACATAGGGATGGTAATTGAGTCCATGGGAGAGTGTAGAAAGATGCCTAAGACAAAGGCCTAGGGGTACACCCACCATTAGATTGTGGGCCATGGATGATGACCATGCAAAGGAGACTGAGAAGGGATTGGTCAGAGCGGGAGGAGAACTATAACAGAAGCCATGTTCTGACAACCAGCCATGAAAGGCTGGGGAGGAGAGAATATACATGGAAAGAAGGGCTGGTTAACAGTGTGGAATGTTTCTGAAAGGTCAATAAACAGCTTGTTGATTGATTGGTCATTGTCCGCCCCCCCCCCCCGGCCCAGTCCTCTTGACTATTCTTCATCTAATCTCCCCATTCCCACATGGACCCTACATTCTCTAATTCTCCATACTCTGACCTTCCACCCCTGACTCTCCTTTCCCACATTCCCCAGCTTCCTATTTCCTCCTCCTTTACCCATTGGATCTTTTCCAATGACCCTCCCTCTCTTTCCTCTTCTGGCTTTCTTTTCCATTTCATTTCCTTGACCATGTCTGAGGGGAGAAATGGCAATCCAAGTTTAGGGGTCTGAATGTCTGAGGGCAGTATTTAAGTCTAACTGGGATGAACTGACATGGTCCCAGGTCTAATGGGGGAGTCAATGACCTTGGGCAGGGCCTGTGCCTGCCCTCAGTGACTGAAGCTGTTCAGGTTTCTAGCAGATGCTTTCTGGACTCCTTCCTAATTGTATCTAATGAGAAAATGCATCTAAAATTAACTCAGGCCTGGGGGTAGCTCTTTTCCCATCACTAGAGGAAATGCCAGAGAGAGAGGGAGAGAGAGAGTGAAAGAGTGAAAGAGAGTGAGAGAGAGAGAGAGAGAGAGCGCTCACAGTTATGGGAGAGACAGAGAATCTGAGACAAAGATTCAAAGCCATGGGGTAGGGAAGAAAGGATTAGGGATACAGGTAGATAGACACAGTCATATAGAGTTATGGGAGAGACAGAAAGCCAACCCCAGAAGCTCCTGACACAGAGAAGGACAGTCACAAACTTGCAGGACTGGCAGGCACCTCAAAGAACATCTAAATGGTATGAATCTCCTCTCTGATGTTCATGACAAGTGGTCCTCTAGCCCCCTACTTAAACAAGAGCAAACCCAGGACCTTCTGACACACCCCTTTCCCTACTGGATTTCTTCAGTTGTCAGGGAGTTTACTGATATTCAGTCTAATTCATCCTCTTTCCCTTGTACTCTTGATTCTGCCCTCTGGGCCCTAGCAGAACAAGGCTAATCATTCTTCTGTGGGGTGGTCATTTGACAATTGCTCTCAGGTTTTCTGTTCTCCAAGCTGAAGATCACTTTCTTTTTTGAATTAGTTTTTTTTATTATTCTAAACTTATATGCAAAAAATTAGTATTTCCCTATACACGGCAGAACACAAGAGAATTGTATATAAAAACATTCCATTTCATACTGCTTGATTTTTTAAAAAGCATATAATAAATTCTAAATATCACTTTCAAAGCTGTCCTGATTATCTGTGTTTCTTTTTCTTTTAGGATTTTTTTTTTTTGGTGAGGCAATTGGGCTTCTTTCTCAACTTCTATTCTCTTTTGTGCACAAAAAATATTTCAATGGTCCTCTTTTTCCCATCACTCTTGCTGTTGTCCTCCCAATACCCCTTCTGCTTAAAAACAGAGGAAGGGGAGAAAGAGCCCTGTTTATAAATAAGCATAGTCAAGTAAAGCAAATCCATATCATCCATCCATGCCTCTCTGTTAGGAGGCAGGTAACAAGCTTCGCCAGAGGTTTCTTTAACCAGTCCTCATATGGCATGAGCTCAAAACCCAAGTCACTCCCTCTCCACGGGCTTCAGTTTCCTTAGTTGTACAATGAGGGGATTAACTCTGTGATCTCAAAGGTTCCTTCGGGCTCTAAGTATATGATCCTATGGTTTTATTCACCACCATGGTCATCTTCCTCTGGTTGTTCTCCAGTTTGCCAATGGCCTTTATAAAATGTGGTCCCAGAACTGGACACAAAAATCCTGGTGGGATCTGAGGATGGCCAGGCTGAAAGGGACTATGAGGAAGAAATAATAATAATAGCTGAAATTTATGTAGCACCTAAAAGATTGCAAAATGATTTGTTCCAAGACTACTTTCCCAACCACCACTCACATTCGCAGGCCAAAACCTCAGAAGGCAGCTATTATTTTTGCTGAGGGTTCTTGGAGTAACCTTGAGGAGCCAGGCTTTTTAGTGTCACTCATAAGCCCCCACTAGTGTTCTTTCCATTGCTTATCAGCCAGACTGGATGAACTTTTAGAACGGGTATTTACTAAGTAGGTATAGCAAGGACAGTTGTTACAGAAACATCCTCCACCTCAATCTCCCCCAAAACCAGGGAAATACCTTCCTTTTCCACACAAAGTCCCTGGTGAGAGTGGGCCCAAAATCAGAGTGCATGTGTGGTCAAAGGGTAAATTCACAGCTCTTGGTTACTGGAAGTCTTTTTCTCTCTTTCTGCCATTTTCATGAAATCCCCCATGGGTGTAATTCTCTGTTGGGCTCTGGGGTTTGTATCCATGTAGAGTCCTGAAAACTTCCTTTCCTCTATGGGTCTGGTATGTTCTAGGTGTGTTTTGCAGCTTCCAATGTTGCTCTGGAGGAGTGGAACAGGCGGTGGGGAGAATTCCCTCTCAGGAGTTCTTTACTGCCAGATTTGACTACCATTTGCCTGACTGCTTCTGAACTAGCTTGCTGTTTTTAGACATAGCCCCCATGAGGCATGACTGATTCTCTGCAGCCAATCTCAAGATATTTCCTCCCTGGCTTCCTTTAAGTCCCAACTAAAATCCCATCTTTTATTGGAAGCCTTCCCCAATCCCTCTAAATTCTAGCTGTTGTTCACTTGTTTCAGCCCCATCTGATCCTTTGTGACCTCATTTGGGGTTTTCTTGGCAAAGATACAGGAATGGTTTGCCATTTCCTTCTCCGGCTTATTTGACAGGTGAAGAAACTGAGGCAGATTGGGTTAAGTGACTCTCCCAGGGTCACATGGCTAGGAAGTGTCTGAGGCCATATCTGAACTCAGGGCTTCCTGACTTGAGGCCCAGTACTCTATCCCTGTATCCCATAGCTGCCCACTAAATTCTAGTGCCTTCCCTCCATTACTTATTTCCTAATTATCCTGTATATACCTTACTTGGTGTATATTTGTTTGCATGTTGTCTCCTCCATTAGACTGTAAGCTCCTTGAGGGCAGAGACTGTCTTTTGCATAGTGCCTGGCACATAGTAGGCACTTAATAAATGTTGATTGATTGACTGGCTTCACCCGATTCAATCCGTGGCCCCAAAGCCCCTCACTCCACTTTGTGTCTGCTGCTCTGTCTGGTTTCCACTGCACGGAGCAAGATGGCCCCTTCTTAGGCATGCCCAGGTGTCCTGTCCCCAGCTCCTGCCCTGCTCCCCTCTGTGTGTTGTCTCTTCCTTTAGATTGAAAGGCCCTTGAGGGCAGGTACTGTCTTCCTTTGTACTGTCTCCCCAGTGCTTAGCACAAAGCCTGGCACTTAGTGTATGTTTATTGGATTGGATTGAGGACCTGGCCATACCTGCCTTACTTTTTCATTGATTGATTCAGTGGAGAACTCTGAGTCTCCTGTGATAAATCAGGGTTGGGGTGGGGTGGACTCCACCTTTACACAAACATTATCTCAACCAGCAACAGAGTCTAGTGAGGACTGCTTTCCCACCTTCCGAATCTAACCTGATAGGCCTTGACAGCTAGACTGAATGACTCCTTACCAAGAAGACTGGTGAGGTCTAGCAAAGTCTGTGGCAAGGTCTAATAACTCATCCCTAAATCTAACCTTAGCAGCTAAGCAGATAGAACTCTGCACTATTAGGTGCAGGCCTAGGGCCCCCCCAGGTCTAACCTAACCTAAAAAATGAGGCCTGTGAAGCCTGCTCCAAGCTCTGGGTCCTATGTTTTCCCAACTCCCCTCAGCCTCTAAGGTCTTCAGGACGTTTGTAAACTAGCAGCAGGGGTCTGGGACTCCAGCAGAGGCCAAGGTTCTCATTTCTTATGAGTGGACTGGAGGGAAGAAGGGAAACAGAAGGGGGAGGGGTGATTGCATTCTGGGCCTTCTCTCTTTGGTCCATCACGTCATTTCCCCAGAGCCCAAGCCACAGGTTCCTCCTTTTTTTTCTCCTGGAAAGTGCCCCCACCCAACAGATAAGCTCACAAACATTAGAGGACTGATTCTGGATTCCTGAGGGGGTCAAGGATTGGGGCTTGGAGACTGAAGAACTCCCCCCACCCCATTTCCTATCCCCCATCCCAGCCCTGGCCCCCATCACCACACCTTTCTGCTGGTCATTCCCATAGACTCCACAGAAGACCACCACAGAGTCCCTCTATCTGGGACCACCTTTTGCGTCTCTTTTGTCTTTCTCCTCTTTCTCTGTTTGTCTGTCTCTGAGTCTGTCTCTTCCTCTGTCTGTCCTTCCCAGTACCAGCATATGTTGCTGCTGCTGCTGCTGGGGTGGGAGGCAGCAGGAACAGGGTCAGTAAATTGAGAATGTCACAATTAGGCCTTTAAGCTCACAACTCAACTGGCTCCATCAGCAGCTTACTGAAGGCCTGTGGGCTGGGGGTCTGATGACTGGTCCTTGATGGGGTGGGAACTTGGGGGGACCTGATGCCTGGGTCCCCCTGTGTCGTAACTCTCCCTTCCCCCTTCTCCCCGCCTCCTACTTCCTCTCTGTTCAGACTCTCTGCCACACCCTGCCTGGCCTTTCAGACCCCAGTCTCCAGATTCCCTTGGCTCAGCCATGGGGAAAGGCAGAGCTCCCACCCTCCACCTGGCCCTAGTCCTGGCCCTGTTCCTGACCCCAGGGGGTGAGTCAGGGTTGCTTTGGGCCCTGGACAGGAAAACCTTCTCAGTAACTTCAGGACCTAGAGCCTGGGAAGATCCATGATGGGGAGGAGACATCTGGTGGGAAGAGTTGGGGGGGGTCCTCTGTGTATTCTGGGGAGATTCAAAGGCCTGGGATCCTAGACCTCCCAATACCCAGTGCTAAAGCTCTTTAGTGTCTAGGCATTGGGGTCCAGGAGGTTGGGACAGAAAGGGATAGTCTGAGGGGACTGAGGAAAGGAAGCGTTGAAATATTTTCCTCATAACCTTAGTGGCCCCGGGTGGGTCAGGGAGAAGGTTGGCATGGGTCAGATTGAACAGCTAAAATCTCCTGCTATGCTTTGTCTTTCGCTGAGACTTGACCCCTCTGGGGCTGGGAATCTGGGGTCCCTGGGCCAGGTAGTTCAACCCCCAGGCATTGAAAGTTTATTTTTTCTGCCCTCCCCCAATCAGGTTTCAACCCCGTCTGTGCCCAAAATGGTAGGAGCTTGGACCCCCTCCCCTGCTTGCTTCTCAGACCTTCTGCTAGGACCCCAGACCCCTTCTCTGTTAACTCTCTAAGATCTCTCCCCTGCTGACTGCCCCCAGTCCTTCCCACTGACCCCCAGACCCTCCTGTTGACTCCCTAGCACACTTTCCAAGACTCACCTTTGACCCCTAGGACCCTTCACCCTTCCAGAAAGTCTACTCTTGACATCCCTTGAAAAATCCTTCAGCCCCCCCTCCCAGCCCCTCCCAGTGACCTCCTCAGATTGTTCCCACTGGCCCTATCCTATCTCTTCACTGATCCCAGGGTTCCTGTGTCTTCTTCAGAATCTAGCCCCTGCACAGCTGTGGGCCCAGGGGTCCTGGCTGGGATTGTACTTGGAGATCTTGTTCTGACCATCCTCATCGCCCTGGCTGTTTACTATCTGGGCCGCCTTGTGCCTTCAGGTCGGAATGCCCCAGAGGGTGAGGGATCGAATTGGGGGACTGGTGACTAATCAGTGTGACAGAGTGACTTATAGATGGGACTGATTAGAAGAGTGACCTATAAGAACTGGAGAGACGGCGTGGGGAAGGCGGGAAGGAGTGGGACAACCCAGGTGTTGGAACTGACCAGGGCAGCACAAAGCGTTGACTGGGGAGAGATGGGTGACTGGGGAAGTGAATGGTGGATGGGGAGGAGCTGGGTGGCTGGGCCTCTTATCCAGAGGCCTGAAGGTCTCATACAGTTCTTCCTTCATTCCTTCTCCACCCACCCAGCTTCTAAGAAACAGAGAATGACAGAGACAGAGTCCCCCTACCAGGTAAGAGAAATCCCCTTATCCCCCAGTTCCTCCCTGGGGCCTCATATCTAAGTTCTGCTAAAACTCTTCCTCTTGACCCAGAAACCAAAGGTCCACCGGGTCACAAATGAACCATCTCCAGGCCTAGGGCAGATTTTAATTCAGGAAGAATCAGATGAAGGAAAGGCTTTGACTAAGGAAGGCAATTTGATAGCAGCATATAGTGGCTACCAAGCCAACTCAATTCCACCCAGATGGAATGATGAGAATACAGGGGGGGAGAGCTCAGTGGACTGGATGTGGGAAGCTGGGGGGAAGGAGAGGCAGTGCTAAGGCTTTCTGACTCCCTAATGGGATCCCCAAGACCTCCCTTACCCAGGTCTGGGGAGAGCTGGCCCTCTGAGTCCATGCTGCCAAGCCCTGGACATCTTCACCCCTGGGACACAGCTAAGAATCTTCATGACTGAGAAGAGGAGGGGGGGCTGGGGTACTCGCTCTCCTAGGGTCCCCTAGGTATGTGTCTCCAACAACTCTCCTTTGACAAAGTTGGCCTGATTCCCACCCAGGAGCTCCAGGGCCATAGATCAGATGTCTACAGTGACCTCACTCCCCAACAAGGATTCCACCGATGAATGGTGACTCAACACTGAAGATGGCCAGTGGGAAGCTCACAGCCTCTAATCTAAGAACCCCAGACCCACTAACCCCTTACTACTCCTTTCTCTTGACCCCCTCTGATCCTAAGGACCTTCTTTTCTCCTTTCCTTATTCTTCTCACAATAAACATGGAGCAGAGACCTTATTTGTTTGTTTGTTTTTGTCTTTTTTGGTGAGGTAATCAGGGTTAAGTGACTTGCCCAGGGTCACACAGCTAGTAAGTGTCATGTGTCTGAGGTCAGATTTGAACTCAGGTTCTCCTGACTCCAAGGCTGGATGTCTATCCACTGCACCACCTAGCTGCCCCCAGAGACCTTATTTGTGCTGAACTTTTGGGTTCCAGGAGGTAAGGGGGAGGGGAGGAGGCTAGATTGTGAAGGTGCCAGGGTCCCAAGGGACTGGGTTGTGAAGACTTCTGGTTCCTGAAGGTGATCAGAGACCAGGAAGGTCTACCTTTTAGGGCCTGGGAACCAGCGATCCTTCATCCTGGAGGGTTTGAAAACTGGGTACACCAGATCCTTGCTTATGAGATTGTGGAAACCATAAGATCCTAGATTATTAAATTATAGATATACCTGAGCTCCAGGAGGGTGACTTAAGCAGACAGTTGGGTTCTGGGGATGCCTGACTTCCAGACTGAACTCTGAGTGATATCTGGATTTCTAGTGAAAGACTCGATGTCTTGAAAATAAGAATTGATTCTTTTATTTCCAGAGTGAAGGCGGACTCTGCCATGTAGGTGGTACAAGGGGCGGTTTATCTTTGGTTGGACAGGATGCCAGGATCCTCTGAAGGGGATGTGGGTGTCTGTCCACAAAGTAGGGGGTGCCATGGGGCTCAGCCTCTCCCAGGCATGTTCATGTAGACCCTGCTCTTCTCTGGGGAGAAAAGACAACATCAGAGTGAACCCAGGGATCCATCTCCACCCCCCTCTCCCCTGAGAGGCCCTTCCCACCCACTCTCCCTCCTCTCACAGAGATGCAGGCCCTCCATCCTTCCTCAGCCTCTTACCTGGTTTTTGGGAGGGCCCCCCGGGGCCGCGCACAGGCAAACACGGCACCCACGATGAGCAGAGTCATCAGTGCGTCAGCTGCTACGATCCCCACGAGGAGGGGTAGGGGCAGGGGCAGGGACAGGGGCCCACAGTTAGGGTCCTGGACTGGGGGGGTAAACTGAGGCAGAGGCACAGTCAGGGATGGAAGATGAGTGAAGACTGAGTGAAATGGAGATACCAGAAAGCTGGGAGGGCACCCCCACCCCCACCCCAGCACTGGTGAGATGGGGAGAGAGGGGCCCTGGGGCTGCCTGGGTCCCTCCTTCTCACCTGGAGGAGTCTGGGCTGCAGCCACTTTGAGAACCGTAGGACAGAGCATCAGTGGGGCAGGTCAGGGATTCAGAACCCAGACACAAACAGAGATAAGGAGAATTTTAGAGCCTGACTTGAAAGGGACCTTAGAGGTCAGCTACTCCAACCTCTTCATTTGGCCCATGAAAAGACTGAGGCTTAAAGAGTTTAAAAGACTTGGCCAAGGTCACACAGTGTCAGCTGGAATTTGAACCCAGCTCTTCCTGACTTTGAGCTGTTGTTCATTCATCCAGCTGTGTCTGACTCTTCCTGACCCCATAGACCACAGCATGCCAGGTACTTCTACCCTGCACTATCTCCCAAAGTCTGTCCGAGCCCAGGTTCATCGCTTCCATGACACTCTCTACCCATCCATCTCATCCTCAGCTGTCCCCTTCTCCTTCGCCTTCAATCTCTCCCAGCATCAGGGTCTTCTCCGAGTCTTGTCTTCTCATCATGGGGCCAAAGGATTTCAGCTTCAGTATTTGGCCTTCTAGAACAGCATGTAGCTACCACCTTGAACCCCAGCCTTTTACAAAGGAAAAATCTAGAGGCCTGGGACTGCAAGGTCAGCAATCCTTTTACTGCCCCATGAATTCCAGGCTCTGAGAATGGGAGGGATCTCGGCAGCTACTGGGCTGCATGTCTCAGAAAAGAGAGAGGAGGGACCCAGAGGGAGACAGATGGAGAGAGAGGGAAGAGAGGAGAGAGGAAGGCCAGGAGAGATAGAGAAGAGGGAGAGAGAGGAGGAGAGAAGGAGAGAGTGAGAGAGAGGAGAGAGAAAGGGAGAGAGAGAGGGAGGGAGAGAGAGAGGGAGAGAGAAAGAAAGGAGGGAGAGAAGGAGAGAGAGAGGAAGAGAGAGAGAAAGAGGGAGGAAGAGAGAGGGAGGGAGAGAGAGGGAAGGAGGGAGAGAGGGAGGCAAGGAGAGATAGAGAAGAGGGAGAGAGGGAGGGAGGGAGAGAGGGAGAGAGAGAAAAAGAGAGAGAGAGGGAGAGAAAAAGAGAGAGAGAGGGAGAGAAAAAGAGAGAGGAAGGGGGGAGAGAGAGAAGAGGGGAGAGGAATAGAGGGGGTAAGGGAGGGGGGGAGAGAAACCAAGAAACACAGAGAGGATTGTACAATTGCACTCAGCCACCATTAAGTTCCTATGCTGTATGCAGGGCTCTGTGCTGGGGATACAAAACTACTGACTTACAGGCTGCTCTCAAAGAGCTTACAATCTACCAGGGTTGGGGGTGAGAAGACATGTATGCAAATACAGACAATAGAGAAGAGAACGACCCAGAGGCCCAGGGAAGGCCAAATAGAAAGTGCTGAGAGGTTCACAGGCAGCCAGGCCATGTGATGGTTAGAATGACCAACATGGAGTCAGGAAGACCTGGGTTCAAGTCTGGCCTCAGACACTTACTATCTGTGTGACCTTGGGTAAGTCACTTCTGTCTCAGCTTCCTTATCTGTAAGATGGAGATAATAACAGCCCCTACTTTCCAGGGTTATTGCAAGGATAATGTTTGTGAAGTGCTTTGTAAACCTTAAAGCACTATTAATGTTATCCATTACCTAGCAGAGCTAGAAGGAATGTCCGAGTCCAAACTCCTCATTTCCCCATGAGGAAATTTATGCCCAGAGAAGTTAAATGATTTATTTCAGCTATGCAGCTAATAAGTGGCTGAGGCAGGATTTTAACCGCCACTTTTTCCAGTCTACCTCTATGGATTTCATCATGTTGGGGAGGGGGGGTAGGTAAGGAGGCAGAGAGAAGGGAAAGCTGTTTAAGCTGGGATTCAAAGAACTGGTAGGAATTCAAAGGGCATCTGAGGGCTGGGAAGTGGTGAGGTTCAGCACATGTGCCAGAGCCAGGGAGCTGCCTGGTCTGGCTGGACTGCAGCATGTGTGAGGCTTGGGACCCGAGTATGGGAAGCCTTGTATGCCAGCTTCAAACGTGAGTCCTTAGGGAGCTAGTAAAGACTTTTGATCAGAAGATAAATTCATCAGACAGGTTATTCAGGCAGTAGCATATGCACTGATTGGAGAAAGGGAAGATGGGAGAGGGAAAGACCTGTCCAGAGCTTACTGAGATAATTCAGGGGAAATAAGGAGGAAGGGAGAGATGATGAAGGGGTGGAATAGACTGCATCACAGGATCATAAATTTGGGATGAAATGGGGCCTCAGAAGTCAACCCTCTCATTTTAAAAATGAAGAAACAGGCTCAACAGGTGATTTGCCTTGCCTAAGGTCACATAGTACGTGGGACATGTGAATTCTGAATTCAAAGCCAGTGATCTTTCCAGTGCCCCCCCCACCCCACTGTCTGTCCAAGACTGGGCAATTTATTGAATAAGACACGAACAAGAGGGGGGAAAAAATCAAAGGATTCAAACATGGGGCAGGGTAAGTATGATGCTGCTATAGACAAAATGAAGTCAGAAGATATGGGTTTGGGCAGGCTGATGACGGGGCAGCAGGTAGGCAAAGGACCAAAACTTGGTATTTTAAACATCATTAATAGAGAGAAAGGGCAGTTAAGTGGCAAAGTGGATATAGCACCAGGCATGGAGTCAGGAAGACCTGAGTTCAAATCTTACCTCACACACTTACCAGCTGTGTGACCCTGGGCAAGTCACTTAACTCTGTTTGCCTCAGTTTCCTCATCTGTGAAATGAGCTGGACAAGGAAATTGTAAACCACTCCCGTATCTTTGCCAAGAAAACCCCAAGTTGGGTCATGAGGAATTAGACACAACTGAGAAATGACTGAACAACCATAAAAATAGAGAGAAGGGGGAAAGAGAGAGAAAGAGAGAAAGGAGAGGGTCAGAAGAAGGGGGAGAGATGGAAGTGGTGGTGAGAAAGAAAAGACCAGAGAGACAGAGATTCAAAGAAGAGAAAAAGAGAAAGAGACAGAGTGAGAGACATTAAGAAGAGTGATGAGAAAGAGCCAGGGACCCAGGGAAGGAGAGTCAGAGGGACATTACCTCCATCCCAGAGAGGGAAAGCAAGGGCCCTCAGCCACAGCCCCAGCCCCAGGCTTCACCTGGGCTTGAACTGGGAGGGAGGGGGGGGGGGGGAGGGGACCACTGACCTGTGAGCAAGGCCAAGAGCATGTGGGGTACCTGGGGACTCATGCTAGTGGGTTGAGATCAGAGTTAAGATCTTGGGGCTCTGGTATCCCAGAAGAGGAGGCAGGAGCAACGGCTGTGGCAGCTAGGAAAGAAGATGGCATAGGCCAGCAACCCAGCTTCCTGCCCCCAGCAAAGTGGGGGCGGAAGATCTAGGGGGAGGAAAAGGGCGGGGAAATAAAGGGTAACAAGAAGCTGGAGAGGCCCCCTGGACCACAGGAGGGCGCCTGAGAGCTGGCTTGGAGGTTCAGAAGCCCGTGTCCGCAAGGGAGGCTGTAATAATTGGGAGCTAGGACTCAGGTGTCCCAGAAAGAAAGGTGCTGGGAAACAGGACACACACTGGATTTCACAAGGAAGGGTGGGAGACAAGATGCCTAGGTCCCCAGAAAGGCTTCAAGGAGAGGTGCCTAGGTCTCCTAAGGAAAGGAGGCTGAGAGATAGGATGCTTGTCCCCAGAGGGCTGGAGTTCAGGGAGCTTGGAGCCCCAGTGATAAATAGACTTGTAAGTAGCTGTCACCCCCATAGAATGGGAGAAGTGGGAGAAGAGTGTTGTCAATGACCCTTTCTTGGAGATATCAACTACTTCAAGGGAAACTGAGGCCAGGAGCAACAGTGGGGGCAGAGGCAGACTTAGAACTATCCAAACCGAGCCCAAAGGTGGATAAAATTGTGCATGCCCTTTGACCTAGCAATAGCACTACTCCAAAGAGATTTTTAAAAAGGAAAAGGACCTATCTGTACAAAAGTATTTACAGCGGCTCTTTTTGTAAAGGCAATGAATTAGAAAGTGAGTATATACAGGGAAATGAGTATATATAATAGGGGAATGGCTAGACAAGCTGTGGTATATGATTGCAATGGAATACCACTGTACTATATGGAAGGACTACTGGCCGGTTTCAGAGAAACATGGCAAGAACCATGGCAAGACTGATTCAAAATGAAGTGAGAAGAAGGGGGAGATCATTGGGCACAGGAATAGCAATGTTGTAATGATAATCAGCTGTTAAAAACTTGGCTGCTCTGATCAATACAATGATCCAAGACAATTCCAAAGGATTCATGAGGGAAAAAATCCTATCCATCTCCAGAGAGAACTGCTGAACCCTGGGCGCACTTGAAATACAATTTTCTCACCTTATTTTTCTTGCCTTTTTTTTTTTTTTGGCAATATGGCTAATATGGAAATATGGTTTGCATGATTTCACATGTATAATTGATATCATTTGCTGGCCTCAGTGAGTGGGGGAGGTGTGGGAGGGAGGGAGAGAGCGTGGAAGTCAAAATTGAAAAAGAAAAGAATGTTTAAAAGAAATGATATTGAAGATATAATTGGGAAATACTTTTTAAAAATAAGTAAAAATACAATAGAACTATCCAAAAAGGGGAGTGCTGGAAAGGCGGGCTTGCATCTTTGTCTCCCAGCCCCTAGCCTGGCACACAGCGGACTCTACATGTGTTCATCAAATGGGGAAGTGCAACAGTGGGCCTGGAGAAGGGTATCGAACTCCCCTGACCTAGACAGCTTCCAGAAAAGGCCCGACGATCGCTCGTCTGAACGTCAGTCACGGAGGGGATTCTAGCAAGGTCAGGTATAGGCAGCAGTGTGGATGCCTCAGAAACCCCTTACTGCTGTCTTTCGGTGATTCTGTAACCCCCGGGGCCGCCCCCAGGGCGGGGCGAAGGCGGGACTGGGCCAGGATTTAAAGCGCCCGCGCGGGTCAGGTCGAGAATCGGGGAACAGCTCCGGCTCCCCGGACAGAGAAGAGGCTGGCGCAGCGCCGAGGCAGGGGTGGCCCGGGGGCCCCGCCACCCGCGCCCCGGAATTCTAAAGGTAACCCCAGGGTCTGGATGCATGGGTCTGTGACAGGGCTGGGGGATGTGGAGCACGGATGAGAACTAGATGTCTGGTACCCGAGGCGAGTGAAGAATGGGATGTCAGAGGCCAGACTATGTTGCCTTCGGATCCGGGGAGTGGAGCAGGGCGGGGGGGCGGAGGGAGAAGATCTGGCTGCTGGGGACCTCTGAGCCCTTGTGGAATAATCACGTCGACAAGCATTTTGGTCAGAGATCTGGACTCCCGGATCTAGGACAGTCAGACGAAGATTGACCTGAAGGTTAAGGATTCCTGCGTCCCAACGGGCATAGCTGATCTGAGAGAGGGACGACTGTTTCTTGAGGATCAGAACTGGAGAAAGGGGAGGGGAGCTGGAATCCAGAGCGCTGGAGAGATAGGGCAGGAGGTGGAGAAAGTGGTGGCGTGACTCCTGAATCCTGGAGTGTCGGAGCTATGGGGTTTGGGACTCCTGGCTCCTGGAAAGTAAGGAATGATAAACTAGACTGTAGTAGAGGAGGATCAGAGCCGGCCAGATCTACATTCCTGGGTCCCGACGGGTCAGAGCTGAGAGGCATGGGACTCCTGGGTTCTGAGAGGTCGGGGATGGAAGGTATTAGAACTCCCGGGTACTGGAGTCAGAGCCAGGGGCAGGAGAGGGGCATTCCTGGATCTGGGACAGTCAGAGCTGACTGAGGCAGGAGGGACTCCTGAATCTCAGACGGTCAGAATTGGGGGGGGGGGAGTTGCAGACTCCTAGGTTCCCTGGGTCCCGGTACAGGGCGTGCCAGTGACCCCTTGGCCCTGGGAGTTCCCCCGCCCTCCTCGAGGGACCTGGGGCCGAACAGGGATTCCCCTTAACGCGGGGATTCCGTGGTCACTATGCTTGGCTGCCCTCCCCACCCCCTCCCCCACCCTTTGGGCTGGACACCTGGGTCCCGGGGGAGGGCGGGTGGCAGATGGAAGATTCCCCTGCGCAGGGGTGACGATAGCGTGACGTCATCGCGTTCTTTCCGGACTCCTTTCCGAAACCTCCCGCCTCCACTTTCTCAGCCTGACCCCAGGGAGCTGGAGGGGAGTGAGGGTTGGGGCACCTGTATCTTTCGGCACTGGGGGAAGAGCTGAGTTCCCGGCTGCTTGGCTCTAAAGAGGCAGGGGACTGGAATACCTGAGCACCCGAGGGACAGGGACTGGACGCCTGGTTTATAGATTCTCAGAACTGGGAGGGCGCTTAGAGATCATCCAGTCCCACCCTCTTAATTTGAGAAGCCTAGACCTAGAACCCGGGAATCCTGACCTCCGGCCCTAGGCTCTTTTCAGGCAGTCCTAGAGGCGGGGACTGTTTTCATCTTGGTCTGGGCATCTTCCGCACCGAGTGTTGTGCCAGACACATAAACTAATAAATACGCTTGTGGAATTGACTCGAATTGAGTGGCAGCTCTCCCTGAGAGACAGGAGGGGCTGAGAGGTTCGGAAGCCTCTCGGGTGTAGAAGCTACTCAGGGTCCAAGAACTTCAGTCCTTGAGTTGCGGATGGGGTGGGGGGGATGTTGAGGCTGCGGGAAGAGGGGCGCCTATGTGCGCAGAAGCAAGAGATCATGGGTTCCCGAGGAGGACGTTAGAAGGGATTGATGCTTGGGCGACACAGAAATAAAGGGCTGGGGCACCCAAGTTTGGATCTCAGAGAAGGGACGACTAGAGGGGGCGGCGGGACGCGAGCAGAAGCAGGGGTCCGCTGGGGCGGAATGTGGGCGGGACAGATGGCCGGATCCCGGGGGAGAGACGCTCAGGGGCACTGGATGAGGTTGGGCCGCCTCCCTGGTTTCCAAGACGTGGGGACAGGGAGGTGGGGTCGGGAGGAAACTGCGGTGGGGGTGGGGTGGGGGAAGAGCCCCCATGTGGGAAACACTGCCTCGGTTTTCTCGTGAGAGAGGCCTGGGAAGAAAGGGGGGAGGGGCTCTTCCATCACCCTGGACCCCTGATAACCCTCACCCTTGGGCTCCCCTTCTTCCCACCCACCCCCACTGCCACAGTGAGCCGGGGCGAGCGCAGCCACATCCCATCTCAGACTGTGAAGAAACTGCTGGAGGCTCAGAGGCGGCGGAGGCAATCTGGCACCAACTACCAGCCTCAGGTAAGGCGGCAGGGGCTCCAAACTACATCTCCCAGCAAGCCAAGCGCCGCCACCTGGCCCTGGGGCCTGATTCGGCTCCCGCGGTCTGCTGGGAGATGTAGTCCTTCATCCCTCAGGACTCCCTGGGCGGATGGGTGGGGTGAGGAGGAGGGGGCCTCCAAATTGAAGCTGACCTTCACCTCTTCCCCCTCTAACCAGGGACAAGTCCCTGCGACCTCTGCAAATGAGACAGAACCAGGTGAGCCCGCAAACGAAGGATCGAACTCACTTTCTAGTCTCCCCCACCCCGAGCATCCCGGCTCCCAGCCCCGCGGCCCCGAGTCTCTCTTTGTGGCTGACCCCTCGTACCCTGCAGGTCTTGGCCCGTTCCCAGGGGCCCCGGAAGTTCAGGTGGCTGGCCTTGGGGCCCCGTCTGCTCCCCTAGCCCAGGCCCCAGGGTGGGACCTGGAAGCCCATGGCTTGTACCCCGACTGCCACTACCATTGCGCAGCCTCTACCGAAGCCTTCTTCACCCCTGGCCTCTTCACAGCCACGGAGCCTGGAGGGCTGCCTTCCTTCCCTCCCCTCCTGGAGGTGAGGCCCCCAGAGCACGGGGTTGGAGGGAGAGGGATGGGGGAGGAAGCCGAGAGGGTTTCCGAGGCCCAGATGCAGCTCTGTCTCCTCCTCTCTTTCTCTTTCATTCCCCCCTCCGCATTTTAACCCCACCCACCCATGACAAAATTAAAATACGTAGAAAAGAAAGGAGGAAATGGTGATTCACTTTGTGGAATAGATGATTCATTTTAAGGAAAGATCAATCTTTTTCTAGAAGGGCCCCATCTTCCATCCATGAAATCCCCCCCCCCACAATTTCCTCTTTAGACCTAGGTGTCCTAGTCCCCTCCCCCCTTTGGCTTTGAGTTACAAAGACGCAGCCCCTCCTGTCCCAAAGCTGGCTTTATTCCATTCCCTCCTTCGCCTCAACTGCAGGGCCCTGTGGATGCCACTGGACTCTATGTGGAGACAAGCCCTCCTCCAGCTGGCCCCTGGGGGGCCCCAGGGCCCCCTCAGCTCCTGGCTCCACATGGGGCTTCCCTGGATACAGCTCGGGCTGAGGTTCAAGCCCTGGGGCTGCAACGGCTACTGACTCAGGACGAGGAGGGGGACACGTGAGTTTGGTTGGGGGGGGCCAGGGGAATTTGAAGAGGGCCAAGACCGAGATGTGACTATCACCTCATCATTCACCTCTCCCCACACTAGACTCCTTCACCTGTTTGCTGCCCAAGGCCTACGCTGGTCAGCCTATGCCGCAGCGGAGGTCCTGCAGGGCTGTGGACAGCTGGACATTCAGGAACACCAAGGAAAGGTGAGGGGCCGTAGCAGCAGGAAGGGCACGGGTCAGTGGCGCTGTATGTCTCAGTCTCATATCCTAACACCCTTTTCCCCGCAGACACCACTCCTGGTGGCTGCCACAGCCAACCAGCCACTGATTGTCCAGGACCTGCTAACCCTGGGAGCGGACCCCAATGCTACTGACCACCGTGGCCGTACCATCCTCCACCTGGCGGCCACTTATGGCCTGCCCGGGGTCCTCACGGTGAGAATGGCTCCGGGATGCCTGGGGTCCTGGAGATTGGCCTTCCGGGTCCTCAGGGGGACGATATGCTGGCATCCTGAGTGGGTGGGAGACAGAGTCTCTGAGAGACCTAGAGACCCAGAGAGAGAAAAAGGAGACTGGAGGCCCAGCTCTCAGGGAACCTGGGGGGAACATTGACTATAATTGACCTCCACCCTTCTCCCCAGGCTGTGTTTAACTCAGGCATTCAGGTGGACATGGAGACCAGGGATTTTGAGGGTGAGTCATATTTGGATAGGGGCTATTGGGCAAAATAAAGTGGGGGGTCTCTAAAGGACTGTCAGGACTTATGGTCCCCCGTGGATCCCTATCCCCCAGGCTTCAGCCCTCTGCATGTTGCTGTTCTCTCCCTCAATGAGGCCACCCAACAGCCAGCTTGCGGCTCCAGGACAATGACTGTCCCAGCACGGGACAGACTGGCCTGTGTCCAGATGCTGTTACAGATGGGGGCTGACCATACCAGCCAGGTGGGCAGGGTCCCTGAGGAGGTGGGGGTAGGGGCTGGATGCATCAGTCCCTGAGAATATAAAAAGGAGGTCCCAAAGCCTGGGTTCCCAAGGTTAGAGAATGGGGTGGCCTGGCTCCCTGTGGAAGGGAAGGCCCTGATCCTCACTTGACCCTTTTTCCAGGAATTCAAGAGCAGTAAGACTGTTCTGCACCTGGCTGTCCAGAGTGGCAATGTCTCCCTCGTCCAGATGTTGCTGGACCTGCCAAATGGGGATCCCAGGGCCTTTGTGAACATGAAGGTAGGACCAAGACCTTGGGAGAAGGGACCAGAGATGAGAGGGGCAGATAAGAGGGTGTACACCTGGGGATGGAGGATGAGGGTCCAGAGAGCTCGGGGAGGGATCATGACGTCACTGGAAAACCCTGTGCTAGAGCCCAGTGGGCCCTTAGAACATCTCACAGGAGGCCTTCTTGGCAGCTGGAGAAACAGGCCCAGTGAAGACAGAGACAGGTTTTAGGGAGGGAGGTGGCGCTGTCCAGCAAGGTCAGGACATAGACCTTGTCTCCCTCCACCGCTTTGTCCCCACCAGGCCCACGGGAACACAGCCTTGCACATGGCAGCTGCCCTGCCCCCAGGATTTCCACAGGAGCCCATCATTCGTGGGCTCCTGGCAGCTGGGGCAGATCCTGCCCTGCGAAATCTGGAGAATGAGCAGCCTGCACACCTGCTGGGACCTGGACCAGCCTCGGAGGCAGTAAGGGCAGCCCCTTGCCCCTCCTCTATTTGCTTTTCCCACCCTGAACTTGACCTCTGATGGATGCTGCCCTTCCAACTCTGACCTAGACCTCTGACCCCAAAACAATGTTTGCCTGTGCCTGCCCATTCACCCTGACCTCTGACCTAGACCTCTGATCTCTGACCCCCTAAGACCCAGAATGTTGGCCCACCCTGATCTCTGACTTGTTTTCCCAGCTTCGGCAGCTGTTGAAGAGAAGCCGGACCCTCCCTCTGGCCTCATCCTCGTAGGACTCAAGGCCCACTACCTGGACTGATTCTTCAGTCCACATCTGTTCAACCTTCCTGTCCCTGAGGGACAACCAAGCGTATGCTGATGTATGCAAATCTATGATAATTTATTTGGATCCTTATCCAACACTCTCCCCACCCCTCTACCCCGGGGAGTCTTACATTAAAACTCCTGTGATGTCCACTGACCCTGGGGGGAGGTGTCATGGACAGGGAAGCTGGGGGGGAGGGGGAGCTTGTGATGATTTCTGTGAAATTGAAAGCCCCCCTGAACTTGTTTCTGTGAAACAGATTTAGCCCCAGACATTCCATCCAACCCTCCAACCCTTCGATTAAATTCGATTTGGATCCCGTACAATTTTCTCCTGTCCTTGAGGTGGGGCATAATACAGGGGGATCGCCATGGTGACCTGGATTTGGGTGTCTGATTACTGGAGAGGAGGGTGCAGGAGCAGAAGCGGCACAGAGACCCTCAGACACAGAATCCCATAGTGTCATAGGCAGGGAAACTGAGGCCCAGAGTGGAGAAGACAAGCGATGGCGTTGAAATCCAGGGCTCCACACTGCCAGCCCAGGGCTCCATCCCTTCTGTTACGTCAGTTTGGGCACTCTTCAGAAGATGGGGTGTTCATTGTTTCTGGGCAGCTCCAGCCTCTAAGAACTTGCCTCCCCAGTGGTCAAAAATGTCCAGGAGAATTCTCCGTGCCCCTAGCTGTCCCTCCAGAGAATGGTGGGCCCTTGCTACACGAAAGGGCCATGTCTTGATTTCTCCTGAACAGTTTCCCAACAACACTTGGTCCCCCTCACCACCACCACCATGAAACGCTCTGATTTTCTTGGTGCTGAATTCCCCCTGGCCTTCCAGACCCAACTCAAATCTGTCCTCTTCTGGGAGGCAGTCCATACACAATCCTGGGCATTTGGGGTGGAGGGAGTCTAAGCCAGAGCTCAGTACCCTCCCCTCCCCTCCCTGGGCCTCTCTGTAAGATGGTAGCAACTTAGCTTGTCCTTTTTACTGGGACACATTGATCTCAGGCATGCTCTCTATCCCCCCTACCCCACCCCCATATCCACCTGGCCAAGGTAATAAGCATTTATATCACACCTACTATGTGCCAGGCTTTACTGTGCTAAGCACTTTATAAATACTGTCTCATTTGATAATTCCAATCCATAATTTTCATCCCCCTACACTTATCTGCCTGGCCAAGAGAGACTGGGCTGTTGGACAGGAAAGGTTTATTGAATCATTAGTTTCACTGGGTCACAAGATAGGAGACAGAGTGGGAGCCCTGGGGTGGAGTGGGGCAGCTTTTCTGCACCCAATTAACTTAGAAAATAAATTAGGGGAGGAGATGGGGTAGCCATGGGCTTAGGGGGCCTCTAAGGTCAGAGAGCAGGAGTTTCAGGGCCCCAAGGGTCAGAGGTTTGGGGTTTAAGGGTCCCTCAAAGGCAGGAATTGGGGGCTTGGGGATCCTTCTGGGTCAAAGATTGGGGGTTTGGGGTTCCCCCAGAGTTAGGGTTTGGGGACTCATGGGTTGGGGATAGGGTCTGGTCACTCAGGGTCGCTCCTCCAGGAACCGATAGGTTGGGTTCTCGTACCCGTGTCTCTGCAGCTCTCGGAGCTGCTGCTCCTCCAGGCTCAGCATTGGGTCCACCTGGGGCCAGGGATGGAATCAGGAGAGCCTTGAAATCTCTGAACTGTGGACGTCCCTAAGTGACCTGATGACCCCCAGTGATTCATGGACTCCCGCCCTAGTAATCTCTCAGGATACCTCAACCCCCTGCTTCCCAATCCTGGCGGGGGGGTGGGGGTGAGGGGGGTAGGCTCACCTCCACGACCCCGTGGCTGATAGCCCCATAGGGCCGCCTCCTCCGGGCCACCAGCAGAGACAGGACAACGACAGCCGCTACAACCACGGCCACCACCAGGAGCCCTGCCACAGCCCCACGGGCCACGCCTGTCCCCGAACCCATTCCTGGCTCCTGTGGGGAAAAGCAGGATCACAGCCTGACCTGCGCCAAAGCCAGTCCTTAACATTCAGTGATGTTGTAGGCAGACACGATCCCAGACTCGGTCCCCAACCTCTGACAACCCGGTACCTCTGCCCCAAGCCACACTCACCAGCTCATCTCTCTGGATCTCAGGAGAGCGGAATGGGAGACCTCGAGGGATGGAGACATTCACCTGGGGGAGGGAGAAATTCAGGTCCAGCCCCTGGCCCTTCAAAGTGGCAAGCATCTGGCCTCTGTTCCCTGGCCCCTCCTGGACACTGGGTCCAGCCTCCAGACCCTTCCTTCTCCACCCACTCTGAGAACCAGGCATCCAGAACTCCAGACCACACCCCCTCCAGGACCCATGGCCAGTCCAGGCACTGGCATCCCCTCACCTTATGCTCCTGGAGTCGCTCAGCTCCATCCCCTTCTGTGGACCCTGCACCCGGGAAACCCTCACTTAGACTCCAGCTGGGCCCAGATCCATCCCTCTGAGCCCCTCCCCTCAGGCCTCAATAATTCTTAAGGCCTTAGTGAACCGCCCCCACACCCACCCCAGTGATTCTGACAGCCTGTCCGGAGAAGATTTCATGGTCTTCCAGTCACTCACCTTTAAGAGGCATCGTTGCACCCAGGTCTGCCAGGAGGTGATGGGGAGAGTGAAGGATTGGGCAGGGGAGAAAGGCAAGAGATTAGGGAAAGAGGCAGGAAATGTCCCTTGGTGAAGTCCCAGGCTTGGCCTTCTCCTGCCCTCCCACCCCCATCAGTGAGGGGCGGTCACCTTCTTCTGCAGCAGGTGGTGGGGGGCCACCCCCATCCTCACTGCTGCCCCCTGGGGGAGGTGCCTCCAGCTCTCCAGGACCAAGATGCTCAGCCCGGAGCAGCTCTTCTGCAGGGGAGAATTGGGAAGAGAACCTGAAACTGTCACCCCAGGAATAGGGGTTGGGGAGGTGATGTGGGTCAGGATTTGGTGTTGGGGGATGGGCTGTAGGTAAAGTTTGAGGGTCAGGAGCAGGGGGTACCCACGGATTTGGGGTTGAAGTTCCCGGGCCAGGTGTGGGTTCTGCTCAAGCAGTCCCAGGCTTTGATTCATGCGTTCCTCGATCACCTGGAGATGGGTCTGAACCTGGAGTTTAGAAAGAAACGGGGGTTAACACGGAGGGACGTCAGAGGAGAAGTCCCTTGCTCTGGTCCCCACTACCAGGGAGCTCCATGACAATGATCAGCTGGGGGCAGAAAACGAGGACCACAAGCAGAAGGTGGAGAGGGGGTGGTAGACAGCCCCTGCACAGGGCTTAGGGGCCAGGAAGTGGGTCCCTCGCCCCTCCCTACCTGGAAGTGCATCTGCTCAGCTTTCTCAGGGTCTACGGCAGACACATGTTGGTAATGGCGTATGGTATGTCTTTGTTCCTTCTGCTCAGCCCTCAGGTACCGTTTCAGGGCCTGGAGCACCCGTTCTGCCTGCGGGGGAGACCCAGGTGTCCAGCCCTCCAGCACCCACAAAGACTCAGGCGCACGGTCCCCAGATTCCACCCCTTAAGGAGACAGGTCTGCTGGGTCACCAATCCCCAGGTCCACAGTCCCTGCTTCCTCATGTAGCAGAAGTCTGTAGTCTCCAGCTGCGTCCCCTCAGGAACGCTGGAGTCAGCCTCTAGCCCCCTCACCTGGGGCTCATCCTCCTGAAGAGCGGCGAGGAAGCCCTCCAAGGCTGCTCGACGCTGGTCATTGATGAGTGCAATGACTCGGGCAGCGTGGGTCTCCACCAGTCGCTGGCGCTCCCCAGACACCTGCTCCTCTAATGTCTGTAGGATTGACTGAAAATGCTAGAGGGAGAGGAAGGGATTATTGAGGCCACTGGCTCATTCATAGAGGCTTAATAGACTCAAGGAGGGATGGACACCAATGGTCATTAAAACATCTTTCATTGGGCCAAGAAGAGTCAACATAGTTACCAAGGTTCATTTGGGGTTACATTGAGTGAGGACCTAGCTCATTCCCCTCCCAGTCCAAGTGGGGCAAAGTCAGAGGGTCCTCACCTCATTCAGAGCTTGCCTGTCAGCCTTAGGTAGGTTCCTGGCTTGATTGTCAGCCTCAGCCCATTCTCTCATGACCTGGGATAGGGGTGGTCACATCAGTCCCCCAAGACTGCCTCCCAAGATCCCCTGGTCCTCTCCCCAAAACTCCTCCCCTAGGGACTCAAGGAGTTATAGGGAGGGGACTATCTTTTGGAGAGCATTCCAAGGTGTTATGGGCTGGGGGGAACTCAGTGTTATTTGGGAGTTTGAAGTTTTCTTGAAACTTTATTGGGGGTCTATGGGGTTATCAGGGTTTCCAGGGCATTACTGGGGGAGGAGTTTCTGGTAATAGTGGGAATCGCTAGGGCATTAAGGTTATTTCAGAAGATCTAGGGACAGGGTTATGAGATGATTCATGACCCCCCCCCAATTTATTAATCTATCATATTATATGGAATACTGAGGTTACTGGCATTTCTGGGGTCTAAGTACTGTGGAAAGAGTCATAGTCTCACCTCATTGATCTGCTCCATTAAGGAAAGCACCCTAGGATTATTGGAGCAATATTCTGGGTGTCTCAAAGTTATTGAGAGAGGTCCAGGAATGATTAAGGAGGCGTGAAAATTATTCAGGGGGACTGTCCTGGGCAAACAGGTATTTCTTGGTTGGAGGGAATCTGTGTGGGTTCCAGGGGCAGATAGGGCATCCTGGTCCCCACCTCATTAATCTGCCTCATGCGTCTTTCCTCCAGATCCATTTTTGCTCTTAGGAAGCCTGCGTGCTCACCACCCTCACCCGGCATTCCAAAGTACACATCCACACCGTCAGTAGGCCGGGCGGTTGGGCTCCCTGTGGGGTCCAGGATATGGGTTGTCAGAGCCTGAGAACAACTGTACCATGATGCCCTCTCTAACCACCACCTAGGCTACCCTGGGCTACCAAGGAATATATAGTCTCCTTCTGGGAGCCTGGACCCCAGAACATAGAGGCTTTTGTGGGTGGTGCAGCTGGGACCTCCTCTCCTTCCCCTTTAGGACTGCTTTGTGCTAGCCTCAGTAAAGAAGCCAAGGCTTCTTGCCAGCCTGGCTTAGACTCTGGGCATCTGGATACCCAGGCTTTGGGGGTGAGTCTCACCTTTGCTGGCCCTGGAAGGGGGTTGGGTGCTGGGCTGCTGGAGTCTTCTGGCCTCACCCTCCTCTTCTTCCTCATCCTCCCCTGGGGGCTCCACAAAATAGTCATCTACCGTTTGGGGAAATGGCTCCTCTTCCTCTTCCTCATCTCCCCCCGGGGATTGGGGCTGGGTGGGAGTATCACTGCAAAGAGGAAAAGACTCCCAGATCTGGCTGTGTGGCCCACAGGCATCTAAGTATCCAGCCCCTGGTTCCCAACTTTCAGGGACGCTGGTCTTCCAGCTCTCAACCCTCAGCGTCCCAGTCATTCAGGCTCCCCAGTTTCCCAACCATCCCTTCCAACTTTCACACACCTAGCAGGCTAGCCCTCACCCTCATGGAGACTCAGGACCTCACCTATAAGGGGTCTGGGGAGGTATGGAGGTGCCTGTAGCAGGGCAGCAGACATATTCTACACCTCGAAATCGATCTGTTCCACATGGGAGGAGCATCCCAGAGCCATGAAGAATGAGGCCCTCAGAGCCGCAAGCCTGGGGAGGAAATGATAGAGGCCCCTGGGTAGTGGGATAGACTGGCAATGAAGGGGGTGGAGAATAGATAGATTATTGAGTGAACTGGTCTGAGGGGGAATAGGAAGTTAGACACCTGGGGGGGGTTGAAGAGATGGAAAACTAGACCCTGGGATCTGGAGGGAGATGGGGGATAGAAGCACGAATACGCAGTCTCTGAAAATTCTGTAGTTAGAGGCCAAGATGCCTGAGTCCAGGCCTCACCTCTTGGGCTTGGCGGTGCCTGTAGGCTGAGCCCTCACACTCATCCATCCTCTCCTGGTGCAGGAACTTGCATCCCTCCGGAACCAGAAGTGCCTCGCTCACAAACTCACCTGCTGCAGGGGGATGTGGGGAGATAAAGGAGGTTCTCCCCTTTCCTCCCTCCCCCTCCAAATAATCCCTATCCTGCCCAGACCCCCACCTCAGGGATTCAGGTGTTTTGCCCCAAACCTGCTCCCCAGGTATCCCGGTCCCTGCTCCCACTTTCTCAGCGACACCTGGGGTCAAGGCCCCTTCACTCACGAAGGCAGTGATAGGGGATCACCACGTGGTGGGGACATCTGGTCCCGCGGGCACCCCCACACCAGCGCTCCATAGGAATGGGTCGTGAGGCCTCCTCCACGCGGCCGATCTGGAGGTCGGGGTACACCTGGGGGGGGATGGGATGGGGGCTCCATGGAGAAGGAAGCTCACGGTTCTCCTTACGCCCACCCAAATCCCCTCCCAAGGGCTTTTCCTGAATCCTAAGACTTCAGCTAGGCTTCCACGGCCCCACATAGGATCCGCCCCCAAAGGTTTCCTCCCACCGATGCCCTGGCCATTCTAAGCCCCTCCCCTTCAGACCCCCGGCCCAGTCCGGCCCCCTCAGGCCCCGCCCACCTGTCTGCAATAGGACAGCACGTGCTGCGGGTCTCGGAGGCAGCGGCGTGAGCGCTGAGGGTCAGGTTCCCAGCGGCCTGTGCGCAGGTCTCTGTGTAGGGTCAGCCTCCCGCAGAGCCCAGCCACCTGAGGGACCCCCGCGATCTGAAAAGAGCAGGAACCGTGAGAGCGAAGAACCGAGCGCCTGGGCTGCCGGCTCCAGCCCACGGCCCCGCCCCCCTCCCGACCCTCACATCAGAGATACCAGGCATCCAGACCCCCAAATATCGCCCCCCTCGGGGACCCAGGCATCCGAGCCCCATTTCTAGTCCCCCTTCAGGGATCCGGGCCCCAGCCCCCGCTGCGGTGCAGACGGTGTTGCCAAGGCAACTGCTCCGGAGGGGATGGGGGAGTCGCCATGGAGACTGGGTCCCAGGTGAATCGCCTGGCATCACCGGCTGGTTACCGCGGAGACCGACCCTCCTTCCCACTGCCGCACCTCCATCCTCTCTGGCCCGCGGGGGTGGGGGACGGCGTAGACGTGGGTCTTTCTCTGGTCTTGTTTACTCCACTCCGTGACCCTGGTGTTTGGGTCCCCTAGGCCACGATGCAAGGACCCAGGAGCCTAGGCCTCCAGACCCTACCCCACTCAAGGGCCTAAACGTCCTGATCCTATAACCCTTGCACCCATCAGCCACTCACCAACCCTCTCCCCTCAAAGACTAGGGTCCCGCTGACTCAGGGCCGCAGGTGTCAGGGTCCCAGCCCACCCATCCCCTCCCAGACCAGGCGTCCAGGCCCCCAACCCGTTCGGAGCCCCACCCCCCATTTCAGCCGCAGGTTCTGGGGACTGCAGAGCAAGAGTCGGGGTGGGGTGGGATGTGGAGGGCTGGGGATTATTAGGCATCTGGGTCCCCCACCTCACCCGTAGCCGGGGGCGTGAGTCTCACCTCCCCAGGGCTAGGCGTCCCCCTGGATGAGCTCCCGGGTGCTGGAAGCAGCAGCAGCAGCAGCAGCAGCAGCGGCGGCGGCAGCAGCGAACCGAGGCGGCGGCTGAGCCCACGGGCCGCGGGGTTCTCTGACCCCATGTCCGGGCCGGGGCTGGGGCCCAAGCCCCCTTCTCTGTCTCCCCTGCCCGGCCCTGCAGCGAGCCCTGGGCCCGCGATCTCCTTCCTCGGCTCGGCCGGCCTTTCTCCTGGCTAAGCCGAGCTCGCCCTACCCTTTCCTCAGTCCTTGGTTGGTCGCCCTCCTTTCGCTCCGCCAGCCCCCTCCCCCGGGTTTCCCCGCCCTGGGCCCGCCGGTGACAGGAGCTCCCAGCACCACCGCCGCCTCCTCCTGCTGCTTCCCTCCCCAGCCCCGGGCTGCGCCGGCGCCGCCAGCCCCGCCCCGGCCCCGCCTCCCTGGCCGGGACAATAGCGCGGGTGAGAGTGCTTGCCCTGCCACACGCTCCTCCTAGATCTTTCGGGGACCCCGCCATTCCTGGGCGATATAAGCAGTAATGTTCTCAGCCCCTTCGACCTTCAGGGGTGACACCCCCCTCAAAGCCCTGGGCATCCCACCTCCACGTCCAGCCTCCTATCCTAGATGCAAGGGAATGTCAAAACCTCAACATTACGGCATCTCCACTCCCCACTCCATGGGCTGCCTCGGTAGCTGAAGGTGGTGGATAAGGGAAGGTTCCTGAATTGGGAACATTTCAGCTAATTTTCCCTTGGACTTGGTTCACAAAAACTGGGGCTGAAGGGATATAAACCTGTGGACAAAGTCTGGCTTCTGGGAAGGTGGGGGACCCAGATGCCTAGAACCCCCAGCCCCCCAACCCAACTCTTGCTCTGCAGTCCCCAGAACCTGCCGATGAAATGTGGAGGTGGGACACTGAATGGTCTGGGAACCTGGACACCTGAGTCTGAGAGGGGGGAAGGGTAGGCTAGGACCCCGACACCTGTGGCCCTGAGCCATAAGAAGCAGTCTTTGACCTACGTGGGCCCTCTGGGTTAGTTACTTGATGGTAAAAGAGTTCTCACACATACTTTTTTCCATTTTTTTAATTAAACATAAATATTCAAACCCCAACATTCACCCCATATTTTCAAATGCATATTTGCCCCAGCAATGGGGTCACCCTAAGAAATGTGCTCCAAATTCCCTCCTTCCCTACAGAAGGATGAGGTGGCCACCTTAAGTCCACCATCTTGGATTTCTGGTGTCAGGAGCCATCTTGGCACAGTTTCCATGAGACTGAGCATCTACCAGGCAAGGAAGGACCATCAGTTCCTGGTCCTCACACTGTCATGAATCTGCTTCCTGGGCCAGGAATGACTTTTTTGCTACATCTGTGTGCCCTTGATTCTGGCCTTGCCACTACCCTGTACACTTCCCCTTCCAAGGAGCCCACCCTAGCCCATGTGCCACTTTTGAGTTCTAAAGTGTAGGCATGTTTACACTTTGGCCTTTTCCATTTGCTGGGCCAAATGTCCATCAAGGTCTTGCTCCTCTTCCCCCTCCCCCCATTCCCAGACTTGGGCCGCTATGCTGAGGGGGAAATCTTGGCAGTTCAACGACTGGACCAGTTCATCACACAAGAAAGGACTGGAGACTTTACAAAGGCCTTCCATTGGCTGGAGTGGGTGACCAGCTATCAGTCTGAGGGGCAGGTCACACATGGGTCTGAAGGCGATGGTGGCCAGGAACAGGGAGGATAGTGTAGGAAAAGGGAGGGGGCCCAGGAACTGGGTCAGGGGTCCCATAGGGTGTGGATTTGACATAGCTGGTGAAAGCACGAGTGTATGGAGTGGTGAGGTAACCGTCCTGGTGCCTACAGAGACCACCTCGGTCTGGGGGGAATACAGCCAAGTGAGGGGTAAGATCATAGAACCCAGAAGGGCTGGTAGGGAAGGCAGGGGATGCTGAAGAGGAGAACAGGGCAGCTCCAGGGTCCTGGCTCACACTCACACCTCGAACTTTATAGTAGCCATTAGTGGGATCCTAGGGGGAGATAAAAAAGATAAAAATGAGACCTATAGAGATAAGGAAAAACGGAGAGAGGAAGGTCAAAGAGGCGGTGCCCAGGAGTAAGCAACAGAGGTAAAGAAAAGGGGCCAACAGAGCCACAAGAAGAGATATACAGAGTATAATGAGGACAGAAAGATGGGAAGACACTTATGGGCAAGGCCAAAGAGAAATAAAAGAACTACCAGAAACAGGGAGCCACCAGAGAGAAGTAAGGCTGATAGACAAGGAGAGACAGATGGAGAAACACAGGGTGAAAGACAGAGGAGACACAACTAAGAGGTCCCTGAACAGTGGTGGAAAGGCTTACGGGTGGGGCTGGGAAACTGGGTGGCGGGGGACGGACAGGAAAACATACAGACATCAGCAGTGATGTGTCAGGGAAGGGAGACAAGAGTTAGGCCAGCACAATGCATACGTCAGGACAAAGGAGACACAGCGATTGAAAAGAGGTGGTAAGGTGACCCATGTAAGGACTGAGGAAGAGATGGAAGGAGAAAGCAGGGAAGTGACGGAGGGGGCCCATAAAGAGACGGAGGGAAGAAGTCATAAAGAGATATGAAGACAGACATGGGAGGGGGACCCAGACCCTACAGGCTCCGGGCCCCGCCCTCGCCCTGCTCCGCCCACCTTGGACTCAGGCCCCGCCTCCTCATCTCCAGCGAAGTCGCTCTGCTTGGTGTGGGAAGTGCCGGTGGACTCGCTGCTGGGGACCTGAGGGGAGGGGGTCGTGACTATCATTGAGTGTCCAGGGGAGACCCCCTCCCACCCCTATGAGCCACCGCCCAGGCCGCCACTTCCGACTTGGGTTTCGGAAGCCTTCAGCTCCCATGCCCCGATCTCGCGGGGCTCACGGGAGTCGTGGGGCGCTGAGCGCGAAGGGGCGACCAGAGGTCCAGACCTGGTCTTCCTGGCTCCCCTCCTCCTCTTCCTCGGGGGCCCGAGGGCTGCAACCATTGCTGTTGGTGATTTGGACCAGTATGTCCCGCTTGGAGATTTTTGCTCTGGAGCCTGAGGGTGGGGAAGAAGGCGGAGCTAGAGGGCGGTACTCCAGAAACGGAGAAAACTGAACAATGAGTGACTAGGGGGCGGGCTGAGGCAGGGACCCGACCTCGAAGAGCAGTTGCAACTACACTGACCTCGGCCTCGGTGCCAGCAGCAGTGGGCGCCCCCCGCGATGAGCAGTAGTAGTAAGGCAGTAGCCGCTGCAGCCACTCCGGCCACGATCCGCACCAGGGGCAGTGGGTCTGGGAGGGGGACACAGGGGTCAAAGGGGTTAAGGAAAAGTTTCGGGAGCCCGGGGCGGGGATCCAAGCAATCCGGAAAGTAGGCCACTTTGGGGAGTTTTAAGGCCCGCAAAAAGTCTCGTCGAATTTGGGTCTGCAAAGGGAGGAGTCCCTGGGGAATGTGGAGGTGATGGGGCCCTGCTGGGGGCCTAAGGTTTGGGAGATCTACAAGGATTTGCGAGGTCCAGCTCCCCTCCTGTGGTTCTCTGGGCCCTTTGGGGATCCAGGGATCCTCGGGGCTCACCAGTGCGGGTCAGCCCAGCCCGGGCTCCTGCCTCGCCCAGCCGGTTGCGAGCGCTGCAGTTGAAGTCTCTGGTGAAGTCTGGTTCCCGAGTCCCCGAGATGTGCAGCACCGAGAGCAGTCCCCGTCGCCCACTCCCCGTGGCCCCCGGGGCGGGGAACGTCTCTACTAGGAAGCGGCCTCGAGAACCCGAGGCGAGTGCGCCCTCGCCCCAGGACCAGACCTGGGGGGAGAAGGAACAAAAAACGGTTGAGCGGTCGGGAGATGAGACTGACGGTCGGGGGTGTGGAGGCCCAGGCGGAAGCGTCGGGAGTAAGGGAAATGGGGATCGATTAGGAAACCTTACCACTGCATCGGGTGCTGGAGATGCGAGCACTAAACACTCTAGCCGGGCAGGGGCTCCCAGAGCAGCGGGGGACGAATTCAGGGCAGTCACTGCTGGGGGGCCTGGGAGGATTCAAGGTCCAATCAGAGATGACCCCGTCCCTCACCCTGGCCCATCCCCTCCCTGTTGTCCCGTCCCCCAAAGCCTCTGCTCACCATGCACAGTCAGGGGTGCCTCTCCTATGCCGCCCCCCACTCCTGAGGGTCCCGGCTCTGCATGACACTCGTAATATCCGGCGTCCCCGGGCCCCACAGCCACCAGACGCAACGTGGGCCCCGAGCCCAGGATCTGGGGACGCATGGGGAAAAGTCATCAGGGGAGCTGGCAAGGAGGGGATGAGTTAAATCCAAAGCCTCTGCCCCCAGCACTCCAGCCCTCACCTTCGTCCCCCCACGGCGAGTCCACGTCACTTGTGGGGGAGGGTTTCCCTTCCAGGTGCAGGTGAAAGAGGCATCTTCTCCCACATCCACAGCCACTGGCTCAGGTGGAGACAGGAGGAGGGGACCGACTGGAGGTTTAAGGGAGATTGTCAGTGAGACTAAGGCCCCAGGACTATTGTCTCCTAACTCAGAGCCTCAGGTATCCAGACCTCCTAACTTCCCCCCCCCCACACACTCCTTTCCATACAGAGGCATTAGGAGCACCTCAGGGCCCTGTCACCCGAGGAACCAAGGCACTGAGACTTCCCAAGCCCGTAGGAACCCTGGCAAACAGATTCTTCACCTGCTGCAGCCACAGAGCTTGGGCCCACTCTACTCACACTGCACATCCAATGCTGTGCTCCTATTGGTACTGCCCACAGCATTGGTCACTTCACAGGACACAGGTTCAGTCAGGAAGGAAGCATCAGCTTTTGCCTCTAAAAGGGGCCCACGAGCTCCAGGAAGCACAGATCCCCCTTTCGCCCACCTGAGAGATGGGAAAGACCAATATTGGAGAGGGTCTCAAGTATGGGGGGGCTATGCAGTCCTGGGAGAGTCCCATCTTTTGGGGGCTGGGAGTATGTGCAGGGGCTCACCTGTAGCCAGTGACTGGGGGATGGGCTGTTGCTCTGCACAGAAATGTGACCTTCCCACCCTCAGGCACTGTCTGTGGCTCGGAAGACAGAGTCACCACAGGGGGATCTAGAAGATGGGAGGGGATTGAAGTCAGAGTAAAGAAGAACCTGCCCAGCATCCTTTTTTTCATCCAACTCTTTCTTCTCTGTCTAAGATTCCCCTGAAGTTCCCTACAGAACCCAGAAGTCCAGTTTTCACTTACACTGCAGGCTGAGGGTGACCTCAGTGTCTTTCCCCCTGGGCAGGGCTGGGCTTCGGGCCTGGCAGATGAAGGAGGCACCATCATCCCGGGCAGTGGGGGTGATTGAGAGGGAGCTCTCAGCTGTTCCCAGAATCCCACTGGCCAGTAGGGTCTGGGAGGTGGGTGAGTAGAAAAAAGGAATGGGGTGAGTGGTGGTTGACCTCTTTGACCCTCATCAAAGGAATGGCCTAGCTTATTTCTCATCCCTCCTGCCCCAATCTAAGGTCACTATTACCTCCAAAACTTTTGCCAAAGCCTCCATAGATAAATGTTTTTCATTCCCTTTCCTCCCCATGCTGTGAAGTAGGAGACAGCTCCATATTATAATCTGACCTGGCTGTAACTGGCTCCCTCCAGACGGACACCATCCCGAAACCAGAGCAGCTCAGGAATGGGGCGAGCTCCACCTCGGGTCCGGCAGGTCAGGTTCCCAGGAACCCCAGCAACCAGAGCCACAGTTGGGGCCCCTAGCACCTCAGGTGCTTGTGGGGGAACTGAGGAGAATAGGAGAACACTGAACTTCCAGACCTCCCTATCCCATTAGAGACTCCATCCTGTGCCTACTAAGATTGGGGATAGTTGGGGAACAGGGGAGGCAGATACTTGAGACCCTGAAGTGACACAGAGGGGACAAGTCCTTGAATCCCTGAGACCAAACACATGAATCAGGGGTGGGAAGGAGCTGGGCATGTGAGTGTGGGGTGGGGTGGGGAAATGCCTGAATCCCAGGTAGAAAAAGGATCAGGAGTTACTCACCCAGTACTTGGAGCCGAGCAGGCCGGGATCGAAGGGCAGCCTGGGTGGCCTGACACTCATAGGATGCTTCATCCCCAAGTTCAGCTGTCCCAATGTGCAGATCATGGTGGCCACTGGTCCTGTCTCCCACTATCCAATAACGGGACCACCCTGGGGGAGGCACATAATAAAAGGGGGAAGGTTCACATTTCTAAATCCAAGCCTAGACAGTCTCAATGCAGACTTCCCTAATCCCCCTTAGAGAGATGTTCCAGCCCCTAAATCACTCCAGAGGGTTCTTCTCACCAGGCAGGTCCCGTTCACCCCCTAGGGCTAATCCATCCTTTGTCCATTGAACCAAGCCATGGTAGCCGCTGAGAGCACAGGGGAGCGTTGCCTCCTCCCCCAGGACAACTTCTAGGTCCTCCGGTTGCTGTGTGAAGTGGGGAGCATGGCCTGGCGTGAGGGGAAAGATGAGTCAGAGCTTCTCAGGGAGATGCAGTGTGCCAAACCTTCATCAGCCTCTATCACAGGCCTTGGAATGCCCAGATCTTCAGTTAGACCTCTCCCCCAAGGTAGTGGTGGGAGCAGAATTGGACCTCAAGCATCTACTCCAGCCTCTCCCTTTGTCCCCAACCTCAATGATCTTTGGTGCAAGGTAACAGAATTCCACTCCACCAGTCCCTTCCCCCAGGACCCAGGCATCCAGATCTGTCATCTTCCTTTTATCCTGGAATGCTGCTACTGGTAATCCTGGCAGCCTAAAGTGACAATGATACTTGTTTCTCTCCTTCCCTCCCTGAACGTTGGAGCTGGTACTCCTGGCTCTGAGGGCCTCTCCCACCCCACCAGCTAGAGTTGAAAAAACATATGGGGAAACAGGTACATGGGTACTGTCCCTCCTCTACTCCCTTCCTCCCACTTAACCTAGGCATCCAAGAGGGTGGCACCTTTGTCCACATCCTATACCCGCCATCCTATCCCGTACCTGCATTGGAGCCGAAGAAGAGGAAGAAAAGAAGTAAGTGTAATGAAAGCATCTTGGTGTTCTTGTGTCTCCCTCAAGTCCTCAAACTTTCTGTGCTAATAGTAGTCCCCACCAAAATGCTGGTCTTTCGTCCACCCACACTTCTGCTCACTCTGGCCCAATAAGAAGAAATTCTGACAGCTCTTGTGCCCTTGGCCCCCAAGGCGGGCTCTGTGACCCCTCAGGCTCAAGCTCCTGGAAGTCTGGCTCTGGCTTCTGCTCCCAATCTCTCTGCTTGCCTGATGTTCAGTAAGTCCCGGGGGGGGGGGGGGGGCTGGGCCTGGCTACACACTTAGGCAGCCTTCCTCTGCCCCGCCCCTAACTGGACACGCCCCTCCTCATTGAGAAAACCCTCCTCAGGCTGAGAATTAGAGACTGGAGAGGGGGGACAGTTTAGGAAAGGAAGTGTGTAGTGGGGGGGAGCCACCTGTCGCGAAGGGAGGTGGAAGGGGAGCAGTGGGCTAGGGGACAGAGGTGTGGGTCCCAACATAGGAGCAGGGTTTAGGGGACCAAACGCCAGGTTCTCTTGTTGGGGCATGGCTGCACCTCCAGACTCCAGGGAAGCAGCTCGTTCAGTTAGTGGAACAAACTTGCTCAGGCAGGGCCCTAGGGTAGGAAGCTGAGTCTCCAGGGCTCCCCGAGTGGAAAAGAAGATATAAACGGTCCAGGCCTCAAGGGTTCCAGCTGAGCTGGGGACCTACAGGATGTAGGGCTATTTTTAGCTTGAGATCAAGGTCAGATCAGGGTCAGTAGTTGGGGGGGGGAACTGAGACTCAGCCATGGGGGAGGTTCCCCACCCCTGATCCTGGGGACCCCATCCTCCTTTAGAGTTTTCAGTCTGATTATGGATATTATAGCACAAAGTTCTTATTACTAAACTCTGCCAACCCTTCCCCCTGCCTTTTTTTTTAAATCAGAAACCAGGAATCCTGTTTCCCACATCTCTTTGGGGGTCCAGACATTCTGTCCACAATCACCCACAGGACTAAGCATCCTGTCTCCTATCTCTTGTTGCCACCCTCCATCCCCTCCCCTCCCCCCCGCAAGATCTCAGGCATTCATGTCCCCACACTTCCCTCTGCCTCTTCACTGCCTCGGTGGTCACCCTGGAGACACAAGAAAAGTAGGAGGAGCCAGGGACTAGGAGGCTGGGAACAGAGCAGCTTGTCCTGACGGTTCAATGAGGGTCCCAGCCGTGCGTTCCCACGAGGGCTAAAGGGGTCTACCGGCAGCTGGGACAGGCAGGTGGGAGGGAAGGGAGCATATCCCTGAGAAATATCCTCTTCCCACAACTAGAGAACAGAAGACTAGCCACCTGGGTCCTTAGGAAAAGGGAAAGATAAGGGGGGATGGATGCCTCGGATTCTGGGATGGGGAGTGGGGGGGTGGGGGGTGAGGCTGGGGAGCTGAACACCTGGGTGTCCTTCTGAGGAGAGGGTGGGGAGAGGACTGGAAGCCTGGGTCTCTGAGGAGAGGCTAGATGCCCAAGGACTTAAATGGCTGGGGGCAGGGGGAGGGAAGGGGGGGAAAAGGGCAGATGCCTCAGGCTCAACTCTGAGAGGATGCCATGTCCTGCAGGGTCAGAAATCCGGCCTTAAATCACCCAACTTCATTGGATTTAGCCACCAATCCAAACGCCTACCTCAGTACTACAGCCCCCCCCATCACGCTGCCTGAGGATTTGGGGATCAGCAGACACTAGACATCTGGCTGAATGCCTGGGTTCCAGAGCTATGGGGGAGGGGGGGCCAGGGGAAAGAAGGGCAGTGCAGAGACGAGAGTAAGGAAACTTGTGAACAATTTCCCCCAGATGCTTTTGCTCTCTACCGCCCCCCCCCCATGATGGAGATGGAAAGAGGGAGCATCTGGGATGAGGCCCTAGGGAGCCAAGTCAGGAAATAAGCTGTTGCTGGGCAAAGGGAAGGAAAAGAAAAGTGCTGGGGGAGGAGAAGTGAAGGGTGATGGTGAGATCTGATGCTAATTAAAGATGATGAGATTCCTGGCTAAAGGCAAGTGCCCCAGACCTTCTCTCTGCCTCTAAGACTCTTTGGATATAACCACCCTAGATTAAGGCATATTGATCTGAGGCAAGGCACCACAAACCCTACCCTTGGTCCATAATTCCAGATACAGGTGGTACCCAGCCCTCCAGTCTGCTCCAATCAAACTCCCAAGCCCCCAGCTCTTTTATGCACCCTTCTACCACCCAGGGACCCTAGGGATGTGGCCCTCTGGTTTCCACCCTCGTGCTCTTAGATTCTTGCCCATTAACAGCTCACATACCAGCTCCTAAGATCGCCTAGATTCTCCAGAGCTGGCTTTCCCAGGGCGAGAAAGGCTTAGGGTGACTACAATACAAATACAATACAAATCAGAAAAATTTGAGAAAAGAGGCTGGGGCAAGGAAGAGGAGGAAGAGGAATCTAAAGAAGTAGGTGAACAGAGGGGAAGTGACATGAGAGGGTTTAGAGACCTGGAAACTGGGGTTCCCTCTAAAACAGTCTTCCCTCAACAGGGGGTGCTAAAAACTGGGTAGGAAGTGTTCAGGAACATGGTGGGAGGAAATTGCCAGAAGGAAGGACTCTGAGATGGGGGTGTGTGGAGTGATGTGATTGTGTGAGTAAATCTCTGGGAGCTAAAATGAGAGCAGAAGAGGCTTATCCCTTACAAGGGACATCAGCATATGGTCCAGGAATTATAGGATGTGGTAAGGGAAGAAACAGAGTGATTGACAAGAAACAACATTTATTCATTAGTTAACACTTATTGGGTTCAGAACCCCTGAAAAAAACTTCCCAGTGCCCAAGAAGGGACCTGTAGATCACCCAATTTTACCCCCTGAGCCCACCACAGGCCTAGAGATCACATAATGACACCTTGTGATGCCAGCTGAAGTCAGGGAAACACAAATCTATATACCTGTGAGGCCTAAGGATGCCTACCCTAAGTAGTATGGGGACCACATATCTCAACACCACCACTTCCATAACCTAACTGGAGCTCAGAGATACAACAGATAAGACCCCTGAGTCCCCACTGGGGCCAGGGAAAACCCCACAAAAACACAGCTGGTGGCTTTACCTATGATATAACAACTATGTGAGACCAAAAGGACCCTTCAGATACCATAATGACAAACACATATAGTAAGGGGTACAAAATGTTAGCCAAGCAGCCCTGGGTGCTCAGTGGGAACTCAGAAATTCCACAGTAAGTCATCTGTGAACCCCCTGGAAACCTCACAGGAAACACAAGAGGATGCTCCATCTGGTCCTAGAGATCCCACCATAATACTGCTGTTAAGTCCAGCTGGTATCCAGAAATGCTACAATCACTCCCATGAGCCCACTAAGATCTCAAAATAACACTAATGCCAACTGGGTTCAAACAACCTATAATAACAGCATCCACTGTGAAGACAGCAGAGTCCCAAACCATCCAGACTAATATATTTGTGAGCCCACTGGGAAATCAAGAATCCAAGAAATCAAGTTGGGAGACCCCAACTCGATCCCAGAGGCTCCAGGATAATTCTCATGAATGAATCAATGAAAAAAGCATTTATAAAGTGATTACTTATGTGCCAGGAACTGTGCCAAACATTAGAGATACAAATACAAGCAAGACAGTCTTTGCCCTCAAGCATTTACAACACATAAAGGGGAGGTATGAGAAGAGTGGTAAATACTGAGGTGACAGGTATACAAAGACAAAAAATAATTCCTGCCTTCAAGGAGCTTATATTCTCCTGGGGAGGAGAGAAAAACATGTGAACAGAAAAGTATATACAGCACATGACAATTTGAGGAGGGAAATAGCATAACTAGAAGGCTCTGGAAAGGCTTTCCAAAGAAGGTGGAAATTACTCATGACCTGGGCCTTGAAGGAAGCTCAGCATTCAAAGACTCAGAGGGAAGGAGGAAGTGCATTCTAGGCATGAGGGACAGCTGAGGCAAAAGCATGGAGGTGAGAGATGGAATTCTGAGTTTTAGAAAACAGGAAGTAAGCCATTTTGGCTATAACAAAAAACATGTGAGGGGGAGCAAGGTGCACTAAGCCTGGAAAGGCAGCTGGAACCAGGCTGTGAGGAGCTGAAGACAATGAGGAGCCCCAGGAGGTTCCCTAGCAAGAGAGTGATGAGGTCATCCTAGTGTTTTGTGGGGAGGAGGCAAACTGGCTAGGGAAGGGAGGGACCAGAAGCTGGAAGACTAATTAGGAGACTATCACAAATAGTCCAGGCAAGAAGTGTGAGGCGGATGATTGTATGAAGAGAAGGGAATGGGATACAAGAGAAAACAAGAGCCCAGCCTGAACCTAGAGATGACCCATCACTCATTACTATAGAGATCGAGGCCCTCCAGCACATGTGCTCTGACAAGGACCCAACAGGGTCAGCACCTCTGTGAACCTACTATGACTTAAGGGACCCTATCAGAAATCCCAGAGCATTCATTAGTGGCCCAAAGAACCTATAACAACATCCTTGACTATCTGACCTTGGACCAAAGACTATAAACTAATTGTCCTCTGAGGTAAGCAAGGGCATAGAAATTCCAAAATTGGCTCCACTATAGACCTGGAGACCCCACAATACACCTAGGTGATGCCAAATGATTTCAGAAACCCCTACAAAACTAATATGAGCCCATCTGTGGAAATGCACAGAGGCAGGAGGTAGAAGAACCTATACAGAGAACAGAAAGTATACCAGTTTTTTAGAGTGTAGGAATGAATGAAAGGAAGTAGCACAAAATTGGTGTAGAAAGATAGGTTGGAGATTGAGAAAGAATTTAAAGGTGGAATGGAGGAATTTGTGTTTTCTCTTAGAGGCTTCAGGGAGCCATTGAAGCTTCTTGAGCAGGGGAGTAACATGGTTAGATCTATAAGAGTAATTTGGCAGCTATGTGGACTTCTGACCAAGATAGTTGCCTGAGCAGAGGCAGGCAGATGAACTCCCCTACATTACTACAACAAAAATCTAAAAAAATCCCATCAGGTCAAATAATGATATAGAAATCCAATGAAAAGTCAACAGGAATATTTAAGCACTTGTGATGTGACAGGCACTGTGCTAAGTGTAGAGACACAAAGATAGGCCAAAAACAGTCCCTGCTCTTGAGGATCTCACAGCCCAATGGTGGAAATAACCTGAAAACACTATGTACCAATAAGAAAAAGACAGGATAACATGGAGAAAACCTAGGACAGAAGGCACTAAGATTACGGAGCCCTGAGAAAGGCTTCTTGCAAAAAAAAGGTGGGATTTTAGCTGAGACTTGAAAGAATCCAGGAAAGCCAGGAAGCACAGGTGAAGAAGGAGAGAGTTCCAGGCATGGGAGGCAGCCAGCCAGTGAAATTGACACAAAAGGTTAAGTGACTTTTTTCTACCCCAGAACTGTGCAAAAAGCCAGAAGTCTAGGGCAAGAGAAAAGCCTGCACTAGTGTAGACAAACAAGTAGAAAAAGCCACTTATTCTATTTTATCATTTTCACTGGCTTCAAAAGTGAAATAAAAGATCTGGAGGAATGAATTAGAAGAATAAACAGCTTAGAAAAGAAAGTCCTAGTAATAAACGCTCTGAAAATTAGAAAAGATCAGATATCAATGACTCCACAAAGCAGCAAGGAATATTAGAACAAAATAAGAAGGTTGAAAAAAGTAGGAAAATGAATATATAAAAAACAACTTACCGAGAAAATATCTCAAGGAAAGATAATTTAAGAATTTTTGGACTCTCTGAAAACCAAGTATTCAAAGGATGTTACCCACCTCCTGACAGAGATGATTAATTTAAAGTTCAGAAAGAGACATATTTTTGGACATGATGACCACAATGTGGACATGTTTTACTTGACTATGCTTATTTGTTATAAGGTTCCTTTCCCCCCCCTTTTAAATGATGGAATGGGGCAGGGGAGGAGGATTAACAATAATGATGCCCAAAAAGCCCCCTGAAATATTTTTAATGCACAGAGAATAGGAGGAAGTTCATTAGGAAGTACAGACAAGCAGGACAATTTTGAAAAGTAACATGCTGAATTTATCATATACTTTTAAAAAAGCAAGTGATTATCGGTTGATAACAATTAGTCAGGCTTAGCCTTTTTTAAAAAAGAGGTATTTTACCTCTTTTTATGTAGACTAATACTTCACATGCAATCTTTGTTTTATATTCTGCTTGCATGCATGTAGGTGCTCTGTTTAAATTCTGGAAAAAAACCCAATCAATTAAAAATTTGACAGCTCTGTGGAAGTTTGGAGAGCTGAGAAAATGGAGACAGGGAGACTAATTAGGATGCTATTGCTATAGTTCAAGTTAGAGGTGACGAGGACTTGAATTAGGGTGGGGGAACTGTGAGTTGAGAAGAGGACTAATGAGAGATATGTCGTGGGGGTAGAATCCAAAGGATTGGAAACTGGATATGGGAATTGAGGGAGAGGGAAGAGTTAAGATTATTCTAAGGTTCCATGACCTGAAAAATAATGGTTCCCTCAAGAAAAACAAAGCATACAGGAAGAGTAGTGAGTTTAGGGAGGGAAGATAAAGAATTCTATTTTGGATACGTTGAGTTTCAGAGGCCTATGGGATATCTAGATGGAGATGTCAAGCAAGCAATTAGTTATGGGGGACTGGAACACAGGAGAAAAGTAAGGTCTGAATATGC